CCAGCCTCTGCATGTTAGTCTCCTCGTAGCATTATTGCCAGGAAATTCATACTGATAAAAACACAATTACGGCTATAGAGGCTATATAACTACATGTATGCGATCATACTCAATAGTGCAGAACATGAGATTCATATGGGATTTAGTTCATTATTATTGTAATATTTCTTGATTAATTTATTTTACATATTTATGTCTACAAAACACAAGTAAGCACCTTTTAATGTTAATCAGACATGTCAAGACACACTGCCTTTAGTTTACAGCTGTTGTAGTTATGATGTCATATTTAATAATAAATTTCAAAACAAATTCAATTGCCCGAAATTGTAGCAAACAATGAACCCAAAACCATAGTTCGTACCGAACCGTGAATTTTGTGAATAGTACAAGCAGGTACAGAAAATGAAAATAGGCTGCTTCCTATCACCCAAGAATAGGTGGACTTGCAAAAAAACTATTTAGTGAACAGAGGTTCAGAGTACTAAGTCTTAGAGGAAATTATGTAAATTATCTATTGACTGCTTGTTACAACTTTGCTTAATACTTAAAATAAATCTTAACTCAGGCTTAAAATAACCGTTTTGAAAACAGCTTTAATGCAATACGGTTTGTTAAATGGTGCTAATAGATATGAAAATGAATTTTCCAAGGGGTGTACTTGCTTACAGATTCGGCATGAAGTTAGGAGAAGGGATTTGAAAATTTGGTTCAAGCGTTTCAGTCATATACCTTAGCAGTTCACAGACACCATTGAAGCCTCAATTCTTAGTTAAATCTATACACAGGTAAATTCTTACCCATGGTCAGGCAGGTAATGGATGAAAGTACCACCAACAACAATGGCCAAGGAAATCCCAAAGAAGAAGGCCATTTTCATGTTCCACTGGTCTACATGTGGGTCCTCAGAGAATCCATGGAAGTCTGGATTCTGCAGTAGTAAATAATTGTACATTGAAATGTTAAGGTCTAACGTGTAATATTCTGTTAAGGATAACCATTTTACCATCCGGGCACACATTTCAAATCCCATTTTAACTTATTTACTGAGATACAAAAGGGGCTTAAGTAGCACACGTTTCTTATGCAGCAGGACATTTAACAGGATTTGAACGTTCTTCAGGATTTGAACGTAAGAATTCTTATGTTCACTGTCCAGACACTGACTGTACCCATATCACCGGTAAGTCGGTGTATGAACATCCTGAACCGCTGGTATTTAAATCCAGGTGACACTCACCTTTTCGTAGGGGCTGACCTCTCCGTGTCCATGAACGTCCTTGGCGTGGGCCGGCTGCAGACTCGATATGGTGGCAGAGCCAGCGGCACCTGAAGGAGTTTGAGACACGAACCGAAATCCACATGCTGGCCCCAAACGAATCCGAGAGAAAACGGACCCAATTCCTAACAACCGAGTTGCCATTTTGCGTCGATTGAGTTATATGACCCGGAACCGGAAGCATGCAGAAGTCCGGATTTTTTTTACTGCGAAAAGGGGTGGGTAGGTGTCCTATGCGTGCCGGCTGCACGATCGGTTAAAAGGTGACAGCGCTGTAAGTTAACCTTCTAGTCAATCACATATATTTGGTTTATATATGGTTTAATTTATATATATATATATATATATATATATATATATATATATATATATATATATATATATATATATATATATATATATATATGCAAAACGCTCCAAACCTGCTCCTATTAAAATATATGCCATCGACTACATTTTACTTACAGTGCTGTTACCTTAATTTGCTGGCACCTGGGTGACTTTCTTTCGTAAATCTTTGTCCAACTAACTAACTAACTTATTTTTTTTCGGTTCTCGAGAAACTCTCGGAGGGCTGCATAAAACACGGACATCTTTGCTGGCTTCGAACGCAGTAACTCGACGTGACAGAAAACGCGGGTCGGACCGTGCTGTAAACTGTAAAGTCTTTCAATAGCGTCTGGCTGATCGGCCAGCAACATGGTGGCTTTCCGAGTTCCAGTACAGTGAAAATACCCAATTTGGACAACGCATGCGCAAAAATTACGTTATTACCGCTCACAATTGCATTGTGCCAAGTGTAGGATGGGCCAACTCCATATTAAAGCCAATATTTTTTACAGTATATTGTAAATGTTATGGCATGCGGTAGTAGTCCAATCAAGTATAAGCCAAGTACTTACCAGGCTTCTTTCACCTATAATAATGTGCATGTAGGTTATTTACCTTTTAATTGCAATAACAATCAGCATAATAAGTAGCATCTTAATAGAATGCAAAACTGGGGCAACAGTCTTGATGGGATTGTTCAGCTGACAGTGATAAGAACACTTTACCTTAAAGAGAGAATATGAATGACACTTAAAATTGTCATAAAATCAAACAAGCATATCATACAGTCCATAATAAAACAAATTCGCCAAGAACCTGTATTAATGTCAGAGGGGGAAATGCGTGACCATCCTATTAAGCGCAAATGCAAGTCAAAAACCAAGTGCATGTCAAAAATACATCAACATTAGCAATGCATTACCCAATCTGTCACATCTTTAGTCAATGTAGGCCAGTAATAGCCAGCAATGGCCCTGTTTCTAGTGCCTCTGATCCCATTGTGGTTTCCAGTTCCAGGGTTATTGTGGCACTCCATCAAAACAGACATTTTCTCAGCCTCTGACAGCATAACCTGGCACATGTACTGTAACACCTGCTTGGGCCTGTGTAGAAAAGCCTGTTATCTGTAGAGGGTCTATAACTCAAAGCTTCACAACACAGTGCACAGTAGCGGCACCTGGTGGTCAAAGGTTAGCTGCTGAATTTCACTGCATTGAACCAATTGTCTTACCTGTGAAATATGAATAAAAGCCACTAGAAACATGAAATACTTTGCCTGAGTTCATAATTATATTTAAATAAACAGTACATCCAACGAAGCTATTGTAATTTATGTATGTTTTGCTTTGCTAGTAATTTCTCTCTCTCTCTCTCTCTCTCTCTCTCTCTGTTTCACACACACACAAACACACACGTGCAAGTCATTTTTATATGTAGTATTTTTTATTTACTTTGTAAATAACTGAATGTTTGTCTTTCATTGCATCTGAAGGGGTAGCTGTTTTATAATTTTGTTATGCATGGCCTATAGTGACATTAAAAGGCTTCTGATACTAATTCGTATTCAACATGGTGCTTGGAATATTTGTCCATGTTGGCATAATAGCATCACACAGTTGGTGCAGATGTGTCAACTGCACCTTCATGATGCCACTCTCCTGTTCCACCACATCCCATCGGTGCTCTATTGGATTGTGATCTGGTGACTGTGGAGGCCATTTCAGTACAGTGAACTCATTGTCATGTTCAAGAAACCAGTCTGAGATGAGTTTTGTGACATGGTGTGTTATCCTGCTCGAAGTAGCCATTAGAAGCTGGGTATACTGTGAGCATAAAAGGATGGACATGCTCAGTGACAATACTCAGGTAGGCTGTGGCATGTAAATGACTCTCAATTGATACTAAAGGGCCCTAGGTGTGAAAATATCCCCCACACTGTTATACCAGCAGCAGCCTGAGTTGTTGGTACAAGGCAGGATGGATCCATGCTTTCATACTTCATATGCCGAATTTTAATCCTGCCTTAGAAATTGTGAACCTGGAAGCAACCTGCTGCTCAGTGTAGCCTTCTGCCAGCAGAGTCATGCTTAAACTGGGATTTAAAAATGTAGATTTGTTTAAAAATATAGAGTGGTCACTTATTTTATTCCAAAATACATTTTCTGCATTGTTAAGTTTTTTTTTGTCTTCCTTTTTTCCCCAATTTTTTTGGCTAAACTATAAATAATAAATCTATATATGTAGTAAAACTTAATCTTTAGTTGTCCAGTATTTTGAGCTTGGATTAAATACTATAAAAAAAATATTTCCCTGTTAGGATCAGTACCCGTCCAGCCTTGTCCCATGTGACATCTCCCTGTTTGGCCAGCAGTTCTCGCTGGCCATCCCAGTTGGTGTTACCAACCAAATCACGGTCCTCAAGGTCCGAGCACTGCTGGTTTTTCAGCCTTCCTTAACCTGTCAGTCAGGTGTGAAGCCTCTGACCAATCAGAATCGGTAATTATTAAACTAACTATCTGGGAGAACTGTAAACATGGCCTGGATTTGGAATCGAGGTCCAGATTTGAAGAACCCTACCCTAGTGTGTTTCCCTGCTCCCTGGGTCGTCATGTGACTTAGCGGGATAAGTGGTCAGTTGGCTGTCTGTCCAGGCTGCCCTTTTGTTGTGGGTTTGAGGCTGGACAGAGGCCAGGCCAACAAAGAGCAGGTGAGGTCAATTAACAGATAGAGAATGTTCAAAGACCAAGGGAAACTAAAACTAGGAAAACTGAACATACTACAACAGGGAACAAAATAAGGTACTGTAACTGAAATACATGATACACCAGGAAAACATGAAAACACAAAATAACAGATGTTAAGCTATCTAGTTCAGGCTCTATGAAGCTTTCATCGATAATGCACTATAAATACCTTGATAATGCATTATAATGTTCAATAAGAATTAAGGATGCTTTGTACTATGTTACGAAGGTATTTATAGTGCATTATAGATGAGAGCTTCAAAGAACATTCATAATGCATAATAAACATGCATATAATGTGATATGCCATTTTATAAATAACTATAGCTAAGTTTATACTAAATGTATGTATTATAATGCATTATAAATGTATCTATAATACATTATAATTACTGCTTTAAGTAAAGTGTTACCCTTAATTCTTATACTGACCAATATAATGTATTATGGATACTTTGTAATGCATTATGAAGGTATCTATAATGCATTATAGATGAGCGCTTCATTGGAGCTTATGAAATATTATAATCAACACCTATAATACCTTATGACTGTCAATAGATCCTGTCATGCTTTATTAATTCTTATACTGACAATAATAATGCATTATACATGCATTACTACCAAAAAATCCATAGACAGCATTGCAATTTTAGATTAAAATACTTTAATAGTATAAGTGCCTGCCAAGGATACTGACAGTGACTGGTGGACAGTAGTACAACATTGTCATTGCAATACTTTACAAAAAGTACAAAACAAATATTGAACGACAAGATTATGTATACAGCTCAAGGATTTACTTGCCACAGGTATACTAGATGAATAACTAAACAATGTTAAGTCAATGGTACACGCTACATTTCAAATGCTTCTTAATGTATTTTTTCCTAGTAAAACACTCTCATCATTGGCACAATGTTGGCACATTATTAGCAAATCAAAATGAACACTAACTGAAAAAAAACTGACCACCATTGGTTCTTCCAGGCTCCTTGCCAAACATTTCATGCTGGTTTATTGATAATAGTATTGTGGATGTTCCACATTTTGTTGTGCTTGTGACCACATCTAGATGGTGCAGTCAGCAGTGGGTATAAATTTAGGTCATGATATACTATGTTGTGGACAGAGGTGTTAAGTTCGGGTCCAGAAAGTACAAATCCAGACCAAGGTTTTATTTCAACCGACCAGTTGAGTGTAAAGATTCAGTCACAGAATACTCAATTGGTTGGTTGAAACAAAACCTTGGTCTGGATTTGTACTTTCTGGACCCGAACTTAACACCTCTGGTTGCGGACTATACCTGTAAACTGTTCAGCTTTTAGTGTTGATGAACAAAAATGCTATGATTAAATTCTATATTACTGGAAACATCTACTCTGATCTAATCCTACAACAGCAATTATAATATCTAATCCATGGTAAAGAAAAGGCAATGCTCAGTTTTTCTGTCATTTAAGATAGAATTCAACAAGATAAAACAACAGGTAGCACTTAAACCTACTTAAATTTATACCAGACAAAATAACTGCATGTATTCCCTGGATTTACAAATGTTTGTTTTTTAATCCACTTAAAATATGTCAAGGAATGTATATTGGTTGTTGCAAGTAATTTCTTTACAGTTGAAACCTTGACTCAGTTTATGATTGTGACTCGGGAAGTCATTATCTGGCATTTACATGCCAACCCAAAATGGCTATTCATGAAACAATTTAAGAAGCTGTACAGACAAAACCAACAAGTTCCATCATGTTTCCATTTCTTCAGGTAGAAGGGGCTGAAAGAATCGCCACAGTGAAGGAGTCCTGCATACTGCCAGACCTCACAAACAAACACTACACAAACCCAGGCTGTTACACACACAGCAACCATGTAAACATGTATTTGAAGCAAGCACAAAGAAAGGTTTTGTGTCGTGGTCAAACCATTACAGCTTGTAAGTCATCATTTGGATGTTCCGCGCTCTTCTGGAACAGACATGAAAATCTTCTGACAAAACATTGTAAATATTTCTGAGAGCAAGGGGAAAAAAAAGAGTTGTTTAAGACAAATGTTTGGTTTGGGGAAAAAAAACAATCAAGGCACCAGATATTATGAAAGGTGTGTGCATCTCAAGTGTTTAAAATCAAATACCAGAGGAAAAACTAAAGCTTTGTTAGGTAAAGATAACTATAGAGCTACAGAGAATCAAATCACAATACATACATAATCAAAGGTCTCCTTAGCGACTTCATGGAACAGAATCAATACTGATTTCAGAAAAAGAACACTCACCCAGGATCTTCTGCACCACATGAGGTTTCTTCCACTTGTATCCCAGGAGGTAGAAGGGAATGCCAGTCAGGATGATCCCAGAACCAATAAGGCACTCGAAGGGTGCCGCCCAAAAGGACACGACGATCATGAAAACGCAGCCCAAGACAAATGTCACAGGGATCAATATGCAGATCTGGAAGGGGAATATACATATTTTTAAATTCCTTGAACCAAACTCGCTTATAATTTGACACTTTTATCCTTGTCATAAAATAGGGTAACTAAGCAACATTAGGATTAAATATTGGGGCTGAAACATTTAAGTTACAAGACCTTATCCAAAATCACCAAGCTATCTTCGCTTCTGAAACGCTATGGTATACATAAGTGTTGTATGGTACCAGTTCAACTTCGGCAAATTGCCTCTGGGTAGCACCAGAAGTTCAGGTCACCTATGCATTTCCGTATTACAATGAGAGGTCCAGAGATATTGGGAAGAGGAAGAAGACAGAAGAACACAGCCAGTCCTTACTTTGATAGGCCTCCTTAGCTCAGGCTTCTTCCACCGTAGCCAGAGCATGCCAAGGATGGCCAAACCCACACACAGCCAGGTGAAGAAGCTAAACAGGTTGATGACAGAGAATATGTCCTTGGAGAAGGCGTACATCATAGACAGGAAGCACTGCAAAACCCAAAAGATGAGTCAAAGCCTGACAAGACACCACATTTCTGTGTGATTGTGAAAACAGCAGCTTTTTTCATAACATTTCCCCAAGACGGCCTAGTGATAAAAAAAGCAGGGCTATAGAGAAGCTGTCGCATGACTTACAGTGAAAATGAGGGACGGCACAGGAGTGAAAAGGTCAGTGTGCACTAAACCCAGTGCAGCAGGGAGCTGCCCTTCACGAGCCCCTGCATAAAACAGCCTGCAAGAGAGAGTCACCGATCAGCTAACAATTACACTGTGATGTACTTACAGTGATGCACAGTGTGATGTACTTAGTGATGCACAGTGTGATGTTTTTGCAGTGTAAGTCAGTGTCTGACTGAGTTTGTTGTCGATAGCTATGGAAAGTATAAAAATGTCTCCTCTCACCGAGCAGAAGTGAACAGGCTTCCATTGACTGCGCCGAAGCAGGACAACCCCACGAAGACAGGGATGAGCCAAGACATGACGCCAAGGTGGTACTCGCCAAAGATCTGCAAAGTCATACATGAAGTTTGACATTATGGGAAGTTCTTATCATGCAGATCATATTCCTCGAAATGTGCTGTGCTCCACGCACACCTGCCAGACTTACCACAGCCACGGCTTCAGAGTTAACCATCACATGTGGGGAGATGGTCGTGAAATACGCCATATTGGTCAATACATACACCACTGTCACGATAGGCATGGAGATGATAATGGACAGAGGCAGATTTCTGCAAAGCAAAGTCATGTCGTAATACTGGCATAATGTAAATAAAAAAGTAAATGCCATCAGTATCTATGTGGTGCATAAACAGCGAAACTCTTTAAGTAGGTTTAAGTCTAAGCGTTTTCATCTGCATTCTCCTTTAATGGTAATGTAGTCATCATACACTATGGTGTATCTAGTTGTGTATTTAGATAATTTATTATTAATATCTAGCCAATGAACTTCCTGTATACTAAATGTCTTTCAACAAACACAAGAAAATGATTTACTTCTCTGGTTCAATCATTTCCTCTGTAACGTAGTTCAAATAATTCCTGAAGAAAAAAAACAAGAGTTAATTTTCCGATTAAAGCTGTATCTGCTTAATCTGCAATACATCATTCCCTGTAATTCTAGTAAAAAACAAAAATATTTGAGGTGTTTATTAGACTATTTCTAGGTAATTATTAATCTATAATCGCAGTTATACTGTAGTTCTCTTTCACACGTGACGATATTTCCCACTGCATTTCATGACATTACGTTTTAGTTTTTAGTTTTCAGTCTGAAATATCTCTTCAGGTCACACTTATAAATTAAGGACATAAAGAACAAATGGTAATTTTATATTTAACAATCAAATGTTCTGGTGATTCTGAAATAGAGATATTATTAATGTAGCTGGATAGGAGAAATGGTGGAAAATGAATGACTTATTGGCAGCAAAACATCCCTCACCAGCCTCCAAATGCAAAGAGGCCACTGTAGAGAGCAAGAACAATGTTGTCCACCCCCATCTTACTGCCTTCAAAGGCAAGGTCTGGTTTCAGGTAGGGGATGTCACCTGTTTACACAGGAAAAAAACGTTTCTTTTTAATGTGAGGTCCAATAATAATTTCAAGTTTAGAGAGCTAACATAATGGAACATAAATAAAAATGGTATACAATATATTTGCCTTAAGTGAGTGCTGTACTTATAGTTATAGAAATAAGATGAAAATGATTCAGAAGTGTTTGAGTAGAATAATTTCCATTAATTTTTTTTTTAAATACTTTCTGCAGAACATCTCTGAGTAAGACAATCCGATTCAATGCATGTTTGAATGTTATTTTTTCATTTGACTGCATACATGGACATCAGCTAGCCTTCTCTGTCAAGGGTCACTTTTTATCTTTACAACTGACAAAAATGCAGACATTCCATCTATATGAAACTCACTCTCTATAACGTTTTTGATAACAAACAAACAATTTCTACCACCCCCCACTGATCCTATCACACTCATTTAGAATAATGGTTCCCACTGTTGATATTGTCACTCCTTTTGTGGGTGACATTTTGTTTTTCATGTCGGCTTACTCATATAAAATATCTGATTAGGTTCACGAAGCACTATGTGGCTCAGCAGGATTGGACACTGACAGGGATCGGAAGGTCACCCGTTACAATCCCCAGATCGGCACAGAACTTTCACCATTGGGCCCCAAACCAGGACCCTTAACCCCAATTACTCCAGGGACTGTTGCTTTGGATAGCAGGATCTGCCAAATACAGACAGTCCCCAGATTACAAAGGAGATCTGATCCCGAGTCGGAAAAACAATAATACGGTACATAATAATAATGACAATTGTTGATCTGGTAAACTGGTGAACCTACACAACAATTTCATGAGCGTGATAAAGTAATGAGTGCATTCATTATTACTAACCATTGTACTTAATCTGAATTTTTAATGTAATGGGCTTAATGGCAGTCTGCTCGAAAGTATGAGTTGTTCGTAAGTCAGACGATCGTAAGTATCGGGCAACCTGTAAATTAAATGAGGGTCTGATCCTTTTAAGGAAATATGTTGCATACAGTTGTTAAAATGGAACAGGAAACACGGGGTGACTATACATATTATTATAAATCGACATACAGCCGCAGAAAAAATTAAGAGACCTACAGCACAATTTTTTGTTTCACTCATTTCTCAATTTAAGGGTATGCGTCTCTGAATAATATATATATTTTTAAACCAGGGTTCAAAAATACTTTTTTTTTTTTAAATATAGAGTGGTCTCTTAATTTTTTTCCGCAGCTGTATATAATTCCATCCATCCATACATAATCTAACCATTTATCCAGGTCACGGTCAAAAGGTGTATATAAATGTTTCTAAAAGTCAATCACATAGTTCTATTCTCCATTTCAAAATCTCTGATGTTATTTTATGTAAATGTCCATATGTATTAAGAGTTAGAATGTTTATTGCCACGTGACTGAGGCCTGGGGAAATTTGTGTTTCAGCTTCATACTGTTGGAGACACCATGACAACAGACAACTAACAATTTGGGCACAACTAAGATAGAGAATAAATACAAGACACAAGATACACAACAGAAAGGAGTAAATGCAAAGACTGTGATAAATACTGCAGTTTGTGCAAATTTAACGTAAAAACTATTGATATAAATTTCCTCTTGATGACAAGAACACCTGAACAAGGCCACAGTGCTGATGCTGTGGCTCTCTAGTTTCCATGGCAACCCCCATGCAGGGTCACATACAAACAAGATCCCCATATATAGAAATGGTCACATGTTGTGTATTCCCTCTCTCTGTTACTCTTTAGTTTTAACAGAGCACCCAGTTCCCCAAGATGTGTTGGACATATCAAGAAGTTAAAGTATCTTTCTTGACCTAGATTTTTAAATTCATGCTTGTAGGTCTTTTGGCAATGTTCTCCGCAGCTGCGTGTTGTGCATCTTCTTCGGTATGATTCTCTGCCTGAAACTTTGAGGGCTCCTTGCTGCTCTGTATTTCATCAAATTCATGTTTGCTTAAGACATTCTTCAGCTTTATAAAACAAACTTGTTTTCTTGGTGTCTGATTTAGCACAAAGCAGACCATGCCAAAGAAAACGTATTCAAACTAGCAAACCCTGGATGCCTTGAAAATTCACTGTATTTACTGTATTAGTAATACTCTAAAGGCTGCAATTAGGGAAAACACTCCTAGCTAACTAGGGAAAAACTTAATAGTGGAATTCAAAACAAATATATTAAAACTGTGACATTATGAAATTAATCCAAAAATATACTTTTGGTGCTTTAACTGAGCTATGCTGAAGTAATAACAGGTAAAGATCATAATACTGCTCTATACTAAAAGTAATACTGGCAGAGAAAAGGAAGAAGTTACCCCGAGAAATCTGGATGAAGCCAAAGACGATGATGATCCCAAGAGCGATGAGTTTCGATGTGGTGAAGATGTCCTGTACTTTTGTTGCAGCTTTCACACTGATGCAGTTGACGAATGTCAACAAGGCTGTCAGAGAAAAGCATACAGTGGAACAGCAGAACGTGCAGAAAAAGTGGACTTGCATGAGAAATAACTCACAGAAATACAATCACAGGGCGATATACATATCCTTAATCATAGCAAGGAATTGCTAAGAATTGCGGCAACAGGGCATTTTCAGAACTGCAAACAATGACGAAATCTGTTGCATATAAACCCAGAAGGTATTGATTGACCTGTCATATCTGTAAAACCAGCACCGAAGTTAGGCTGTGTACAGTTTTACTCACTGAGGCAAAGGCAGGCGATTAGTTTGGCAGCAGATTCGGGCACGTTACACTCTGGATAGAGGGGTTTGAGGAGGTAGGTGGCGAAGACCAAGGACACCACGTACTGTGAAGATGGCCGTATAATCAGCATCTCCACCCAGAGCTTCAGGAAAGCCACCAGCTTGCCGTACACCTCCAGGATGTATGTGTAGTCCCCACCCGACTTGGTGATGGTGGTACCCAGCTCAGCGTAGCACAGAGCACCCATGGTGGAGATTACGCCACACACGGCCCATACGATCAGCGAGAGGCCCGCCGAGCCAGTCTCCTTCACCACGCCAGTGGGGGTGATGAAGATGCCCGAGCCAATTATTGTGCCAATAATCATGCCAACACCGTTGAACAAGGTGATGTTCCGCTTTAGCTTGATCTTCTCCTTCGTGTCAGGAGGGGTCTCTTCTTTTGGGCTGCTTTCTGCTGCCACCTCTTTGGCCCAAGATACAAGTGGAATGAAAAGATTAGATGGACAGGTACTGGAAGCAACTTCTAAATAATTCTTTAGTTGATTAAATAATTCTTAAATTTAATTTGAATTCATTTATGATTAAACTGTGAAAATGAGCTGATTAGGCTATTTGAAACTTCCTAGTTACCTTTAAAGGAACACCCAGATATTTGCAGTTATCATTGTCAAATGCACTAAGCAAGCTGTACAACTTATATTTTTTATGAGCCATCTCTGAAAAATGTCTTGTATATTAAATGTATATCACCTCCTTCAAGTTTGCAGAAACCACAGAAATGTGTTTCAGTCGTCTTGTGTTTTCAGCACCTGTACTCTTTTCATTATTCACACTACTATATTTGAGACATTAAATGACTTGAGTTTGAAAATAATTAATTGAATCTGAATAATCATACACTGGTATACAAACAATTAATAACCATTAATTAAACATCGATTTTCACACTTTCATCCGTAATGAAACTGATATATTTTATTAAATGTTTGTTTGTATTTTTAAAAATATGCTGAAAACACTGACTCAGTCCTTAGATTGTGCGTATAAAAGGTTCATCCTGCTCTCTAAAATCACGCCTTTAATACAAAACGGATTATAAATTATGCATCTATATAAGAACATATGGAATTAGATTGGGATGAATTGCATGGGATTCCAGCTCCGCATCGTGGACTGATGTAACGGCATGGCCGTGGCGTCGTGCGCCGTTTTACACACTAAAGCTGCACTGCATCCTTCCTCACAGTAATGCAGATTCGCATCCCAGTCACACGGTACCTACCCTCCATCTTCTTCTGTTCATCTGCCTCCTTGTTCACGTTTTCATTGCTCCGTGACTTCAGCTCCGCCATCCTGCCGGCGTTTTATACGGCGGCTTCCGCAAAGCTGTCCCGCGCTTAGGAAAAGAGCACGATGGATGCTGATGAAGGTGAAGTCCCCCGCTTACCGATGGTGGGCAGCCTTTTGCAGATGACAGGGTAAATCAGAAGCGTCGCATGTAGGTCATCGGCAGCTTTTCGCACGTTTCTGAGAGGGACTCATATTTGATGGGCACCTGAAACACTCCGTGTGCGTGTAGGTGTGCCAATGTGTGTCGATGCGTGCGCCGCGTGTCAATTCATACTCCACGGTAGGGGTTTATGATACAGGGTTAGTTTAACGCCCCCTCGTGGCCAGTTGATGTAATATCACACTTACCATTGGCGGTGCTAAACGTTCCAGGGTACAAAAATACCCTGTAAAACACCATCTGAAATATGTTGTCAGTACTCAGTGTAGTGTCCCTGCTAATTCAATAGCATAAAATTACCGTGCATTTTAGCCTTTATGCCATAAATGAAGTGCACATTTGCAGAATAAACGTTAAATATTTGAGAATACTAACATAGCAGCCAGTGGGGACATGTGCAGCTGATCACAAGCCCACTGCAGCATGTGGACCCTCCCCGGACCTGGCTCCACCATGAACACATCCAATCAAATCAAAGCACTCAATGATGCCTTTTCAACCTGGCAGAGGTCTGCTGTGGAAGCAAGCTGTGAAATTTCAATTGCTTAGCTGGGCCTGAGTAAACTAATCAGGTAGGAGCGGACAGAAGCAGACACAGGATGAGTTGAAATGCACTCACTGGCCACTTTCTTTGGTACACCTTGCTAGTTCTGGGTTGGACCCCCTTTTCCTTGAGAACTGCATTAATTCTTCATAGCATAGATTCATCAAGGTGTTGAAACATTCCTCAGAGACTTTATTGACATCTTGACATGATAGGAGTACACAGTTGATGCAGATTTGTCGGCTGCATCTTCATGATGCAAATCTCCCATTCCATCACATCCCATAGGAGCTACTGGATTGAGATCTGGCAACTGTGGAGGCCATTTGAGTACAGTGAACTCATTGTCGTGTTCCAGAAACCAGTCTGAGATAATATGATCTTTCTGGCATGGTACATTATTCTGCTGGAAGTAGCCATTAGAAGCTGAGTATACTAGCTGTGGTGAAAAAGGGATGGATATGATCAGCAACAATACTCAGGTAGGCTGTGGAATTTTAAAAAATATTGAAGTAGTACTATAAGACCGAAATTATAATATATATTGGGGGGGGNTGGAGGTGTCCGCCCCAATATATAATATATTTACGGCCTTGATGTAAATATTAAATCACACTTTATAATACAAAGCGACACAACCACTAACGTCCTCGATCAGTGTATATATTTACTGTGGACCTGTGAAGTAAATGCAATGCAAACGTTACTCGATACGGCGTAAGTATTTAAAGTAACAGATACCTGTATTTTTAACATATACATTTCAATTTCTGAAGTGGCCTTATTATCAATGCAAAATAAAATGGCAATTAAATAATTATGATGATCATAATCATAATTTAAAAAGCAGGAATTTCTTTTGTAAGTTGTTGTAGATATTATGTCAACGTAGAGATCTTGTTGAGCTTTCTAGACTGATTTATAAGAATTTTGTTAGTCTTCCTACAACCATTAGCATTAAACGTTGTAGGCTGGTCACCTGCCGGCTATGTATTATAGAGCACAGTTTCGACTTCAGTCGAAGTAGCACGTTAATTTATTTATGGAATATATTTAAGACAAAATTAGCTAAATTATAATAAAATACACTTATCTGTCCCCAACCATTACCTTCCATGTCACATTAAGTTTCCCGCCCCCAGAATATTTCGATGGGGGCTGGGTTTACCCCCCTGAATCGGTACGTGCTACGTTCCATTCCTAAGATATTCGACAGTCGGCATCGGAAACGTAAGGTGTAGCGTGTTTCTTCATCATCCTCTGCGAATATTACAGACCCATCTGCCAGCCACACACTAGTAACATGGTTGGGATCCCTGCCGCTATTCAATGTAGGTTATGCTTTTATTTCATTATTTACTCCATTGCACTGGTGGCAGCTTCATCGATTGCATGGCCGACGTAGACGTTTGCATTCACTTCCAGATAGCTTGTTTTCTTTATGATATATGGAGCGGGCGTTTTGGTTCTTATAAAATAACTGCTATACACAGACAACGTCTGTTTCAATATCAGGAGCGCGATCTTCTGATACTATATTTCGATGACTTCTGCTAGGCAAACTAACAATCCGTCTCCTTTACATAATGGTTTAGGTCACACATAGTACTGGAAGGATCAAGTATTATGCATTGGCTTTTAGTCTTATTTTCAGATTTGGTGATGAATTGGGATTGCTGGTGTTTAGGATTGTTCATTTTCCACCTGGCTGAAATTGGTTTCTTATTCGTAAAAATCCGTTCCACCTTAAATAGGCATAATGCATGGTCTGCCATATTCACAGCAATTTATCTTGCCAATGTGAATGTCAAAACGTCTGTTCGAAAGCTTAATACCATCGGATACATCAACTATATTGCAACTGCGATATCCGGTGCCGGAAATTATTTTACTGTAGAATTTCAAAAATAATGCCCTTTGAATTTGGCATTTTTTCCATTAAGACCAACTGAAGATTGAAGCAAGTTATCTAGGGCTGCCACAAACGACAGTTTTTCTATAGATTAATCTATCGACTAATTCATGGATTGGTCGATTAATCTAAACAATTAATTTTCCTTCAGAAAATCAGCTTCACTGTTTAATTTAGGTTGATTTTATTTTGACGACAATAAACCTCTATGCTATTGCTGGATTTTAGATAATGTCCTCTCTATTCGGCACTGTATGAGCATTATTTTCACCCGCAATTCGATAAGCAGACTAGTAGTATGCCTAAAAATATTAATGACATGAGTATTGCGATGCCCAGAAGTTAATAGACCAAAATTGGCGTATCCTCATGCTTAATAAATTAAGATAGTGGAGCACGCCGCTTGCTATACCCTGAAGTCGCGACGAAGGAAGGGAGAGATTAGCAGCCACAACATATTTTAAAGGAGGAGATACTGTGGTTAAACAAGGTCAAAAGATATTGGTGATGTGGTGGTACTTTTTGCATTTTTATTTCAGTTCACTAATTATTTCCTTTTATTTGGTGTCGTTTTCGTTTCAGTTTTAGTCCCAACAAGTCCACTGCGCACGAACGCACAAACGTACGTAGAATAAGACCAGATTTTAGCCTAAACATTTTCACAAACACGTATTCTAGTGTAGCAGGCATACAACATTATGGCTTTAACAATTATTGTATTTAGCAGCTACAAGGAGAAAAGATTTTACAAAGCTCTCCGTACTAATGGTAATTTAATAAACATGAATAGAAAAAACGGTGGTTTTGCCCTTTCTGGCGGTCTAGAATATCGCATACATGTATGTTTTCTCGTCCGGTGCTCATGCGTAGCGCTGTAGTACCGCAGTGGTATGACGTATGTCGCACTTCGCACAGTGCAAAACCACCTTTTTCCTTTCTTGATAATTTGAACTACTCCCATAATTACGTAGTGATGTTAAAGGAAAACATTTGTTATAAGGAATTGAAGCATTTTAGATATCATAAAGGTAATTTTCTTAAAGTAATAAAAAAAAAAATTATGCTTCGATTTAAAATATTTATGTCGGCGACGTCATCGACTACGTCAACCCTATAGTTATCTGGTCAACATCAAAACATCTGATCAAAACCTTAATACAATATGATAGAGCAACTATTACCCTTACTATATCCAGAGTTGGAAGATATTTTACTGTAGAATTTTAAAAATAATAGTAATAATGTGAAATATCTTCAAACTCACTATATAGTAAATGTAATAGCTGTTCTATCAGATGGTATTGAGTTTTCAAGCAGACGTTTTGATATTGATCAGATAAATTGCTCTCAATATGAGAGAACATCCAATTTCTAATTGATTTTTTTTATTTGTATAGTGCATTTTCACAAGATTGCATTGTCTTAAAGCACTACACATTATCCCTACCCAGATCCCCTAGTGAACAAACCAGAGGCAAGGAAAAACTCCCAAGTAAGGAGAAATCTTGGGAGCAACCAGACTCAGAGGGAGAGCCCATCCTCCTGGGGCTGGCAGAGGAAGTCAAATTAGCAGAAAATTTATACAGTTTAATTTTAAGGTTTGGGAATAATTGTGGAGGGCAAGCAGGTGATGATGCTGCTTCCAATGGCACGATGGACGGTAGTGGGGCAGCAGTGCATGCAGGAGGGATGGCACAGGCAGGAGGGAGGGCAGACAGGAAGAATGTCACACGTAGCTGGACCATCGCAGGCAACAGGTTAGGCAGGATATATTGATTTTTTTAAAAATGTGCATTAAGCAAAGGTAGAGGAGACCACAGGCAGTGTAAACAGTTAGGTGAGGTAACTGTAACCTGCAAGACTAAACAAGTGAGTTTTTAGTCTAGATTTCAATGTTGAGAGTGAGGCTGAATCTCACACATGTGCTGAAAGCATACACTACTTCACAATGGGTCTAATAATTTTACATATTCTACAGTAAAATATCTTCAATCTCTGGATATAGTAAGTGTGGCAGAGAACTTCTTATGAATATGCCGATCACAATGTTTTTCATTTCAATGGATCTCATTGGGGAAAATGCCAAATTCCGAGGGCATTTTTGAAAAAATTCTACAGTAAAATACCTTCAAACTCTGGAGAAAATAAGTGTAATAGTTCATGTATCAGGTGATATTTAGCTTTCTAACAGACGTTTTGATTTTGACCAGATAAATTGCTGTGAATATGGTACGTCACACAGTGATTTTCACCGAGTCTTCATGGGAAAAATGTAAATATCACACGGCATTATTTTTGAAATTCCACAGTAAACTAAAGTCTCTGGATATTGCAAGTGTAATAGTTGATGTGTCACATGGTATTAAGCTTTCGAACAGAAGTTTTGACATTGACAAGATAAATTGCTGTGAATATGGCTGAACATGCATCATGCCTATAAGGTGGAAAGGTGCAAAATAAGAAACCAGCTTCAGCCTCGTTTCATCCTCTGTTTTCTTTTCCCCAAATATATTCTTAGATTATTCTGCTTAACAAAAAAGAATCGCAACCAAATTAAATATGCAGATGACATACTGTATGTTTTGAAATAGTTTATGTTGTGTAAGTCAAATTCTAGGGGTTGGCTGAATGCATAATTTAAGTAAATGACCCATATGATTTTTGGCTTTTTTCATCTACACTTTCATGGATGCACATAGAGCTTAGAAACTCTGCATGTGATTGCTAGGGACATCTATTTCTGTATTTTAAGTAACCAGCTAAATACCATTGTCATGTAAATAAGTGCTCTCTTGGTTCTTTTTTGAAAGACGGATCTGTCCCACTCACCACTCAACTGGGGATTAAATCATCAGGCAAAGTTTTGCACCATCTGGACTTCCACAGCTTACCAGTACAATAACACCAGGCACCCTGGAACTGGCTGATGGTAAGTCCCACTTTTCTAGTTGCCCCAAAGGCAGGGATTTATTCGCGCTATGCAGGCTGGGTGTGAGGCACATTCAGGGCATTGTTTAACAGCATTTCTCATTTGCCCCTGTAACTCCACACTTCCATCCACAAAACAAGCAATGTCATCTGTGCATATCATTGTTAATGTTTGGGCAGTTATCAGCACAGCAGTGCTTTCAGCGTTGCTCACTGTAGTGTGGTACCACTAACAAGCTTGGAAAATCTTTGCAGGTTATGCATCATGCATTGCATGTGCACACTAGCCATATTAATATGCCCCTACTGGTTTGCACTGATATTTGAAGTCTTTTCTTAGGTTGTGGTATTATGGTTATGTAGGATATTTTTATTACTGGAAGCATGTGCAGAAAGATGCTTTAACATAGTTGCAAAGTTAACTGAGTTTGTATTTCACAATACTAATTTTATTATTAATAATAGCTAATTTAATTGCCAATACTGTTTCCCTTTTTTGCACCACAGATACAAATAACTCAAAACAGCAAAATTTAAAACAATACGGATCCAGCAGTTAATGCTGCTTGGACCCCTATAAATGAAAAATAACAAAGAAAATTTAAGCACTTCACTCAGCAACATCTTAAACACTAATAGGACTGAATGGAGCTTGTCTTTTGGATCTGCACAAGTGATCAAGTATTGGCTCTACTGACCATTCATTAAAATGTCTGAAAAAATTAAACTTCCTCCTCGTCTATGCACATGACGTCATTACGCATACATTATGGGGAAAGTATTTCTTGTATTTTCAAAATACAAAAATACTGAACATAAAAGTATTTTGATACTAATTACACAATAATTTTTATGAAGCAAGTGAAATACGACGTGTGATCTATCTTGTAATTTTGACAAAACAGGGTTGTCACATTACTTGTTCAGATACCTAGCTACATCTTATTCGACGTAGGGTGTGAGTCGGGACCCTACTCCAAGAAGCGCAGGTCACAAGGCAGGCCACTACACTGAACGCCATGCCAGTATGATTAGACATATTATTTTTTACAATATACTATATGGACAAAAGTATTGGGACATCTGACCATTACACCTACAGGAACTTTTCTGACATCCCATTCTAAATCCATAGGCATCAATGTGGACTTGGTGCCCCTTTTGCTGCTGTTACAGCTGGCACTCTTCTAGAAAGGCTTTCCCCAAGATTTTGGAGTGTGTCTGTGGAAATTTTTGCTCAGGTTGAGGTCATGGCTTTGTGCAGGCCAGGCAAGTTCTTCCACACCTAACTCACCCAACCATGTCTTTATAGACCTCGCTTTGGTCCTAACTGGAACCAAAGGGGAGCTCAGACAGTACAGGGAACAATGAGAGGACTGGCTACAATTTACTGGAGGAGCACATATATCCGGTAAACTCTAATCACTGGTGAGAGACAGGTGTACAGGGTTAGCACATCAGGGCAGAGAACAACCAGAAGAACATCAACAATTGGATACAGCTGGAGAGACTTAGGAGGGTTAAGGAGGACCAGCAGCGACCTCTGCTGGCCTTACTGGGAGTAGATGGGACAGATCATGACAAGTATAAACTGTTGTTTGCCCCATATGGGGCTAAACCGAGACAGAGGAGTGGACTCATTAAAATATTTGTAGGTAGTGTACCATATTTTTTATCATTTGCTTAACTTGGATTTACAGTATGTATCCGTAGCCTTACCGCTATATCCCAGTACAGGTATGTGGGAAAGGGTTAATTCGCACCCTGAGCCTCCATTCCCTAACCCTAACCCTAACCCTAATCTCTCCCAGGGAAACAGAACACGATGGACCTCAACTGCATGGCCCCTCAACATAAAATCCAGACATTTCATACGACGGCTGCCACTTTTTTCAAAATCAAGTTGGTACAAATTTCACAAGTCATGCAATTCCTTCGAATACCTGTCACCTCCCCCCCCCAAATAAATAAATAAATACACAGAGTAGAATCATATTAACAGCCCGTGCAACAACACATTTGTATGGAGCCCCTAAGAGGTCAGGGTGGGAAAATATTTCTTTAAATAGTTTTGCATTACTAATAATTACTGTACTGTGTCCAAATGTACAAAGCAAGGAATTAATAGACTAATAAGTATAAATCTAAACGATTCAGCCATGTCCAGTTAATTGTGCTCTAAGCATTAAACTATGGGGGACAATGCACACCAATTGTGTTTTCATGCATATTTATTAATAATTCACCACCGGTGACTGTAAACAAGACAGCTGGGCTATTGAATGTGAAGTGCACACACAAACATTTTAATATTTTTCGAATTTTAATGTTAATTAAAATTCGCTCATAAAGAAATCTGGACAGCCAAAGGGTGTTGCTTACTTTTTGTTGAATATAAAGCTAACTTTACTGCGGTGTCATAGTTAAGGGTTAAACCTGAACCCACTTTCGGATATACCTCCCTTGTGTTCTCACTTGATGATGTACACTATATTTCCAAAAATTATTGGGACCCCTGCCTTTACACACACATGAACTTTAATGACATCACATTCTTAATATATAGGCTTTAATATGGAGTTGGCCCACCCTTTGTAGCTGTAACAGCTTCATCTCTTCTGGGAAGGCTGTCCACAAGGTTTAGGAGTGTGTTTATGGGAATTTTTGACCATTCTTCCAGGAGAGCATTTGTGAGGTCAGGCACTGATGTTGGACGAGAAGGCCTGGCTCGCAGTCTCCACTCTAATTCATCCCAAAGGTGTTCTATCGGGTTGAGGTCAGGGCTCTGTGCAGGCCAGTGAGTTCATGTTAAGTATAGTGTTCAGATTGTTACTGAAAACTAAAGTGGGTCTGACACCCTGGATAATTAGTGATGCTGATTGTGATGACTGACAATGCTGAGGTGCTGAGGTGCTGTAGCATCACACCACTTCAGGCAGGAAGGAGGTATTGGTAGGTTCTTGTGCTTTTGAGGCACTTAAGAGAGTCCAGGCCCTGGTTGCAATAGTCAGGTTGAGTGGATGCTGACTGCTCTGTTGTCTTCCCCGAGGTTCATATTCTGAAAGCATGTGCGTGAATAGAACCAGATGCTCAGTGTTTTGCTGGATCGTCTCCCTCTCTGTGTCCTTTTTTTCCCTGCATTTCAGCTGCAGAATCGTGGCCAAGAGTGTCTTGAATTGATTTTCTTATATGGAAAGAGAGAAATCTATTTAATATGCGTGTGGGTTTTAAAAGGTGACTTCTCACAAATGCCTCGCAGCACTGGAGGAAATGGAAAAACTGGGCCAGGCATCTACAAAAGGTAGCATGTAGAAGTCTCCTGGTGGTTTTCTCTGCTCTCCTCTTCTCATTAAATACAGCGCCAGACTCCATTGTTTCCGCTCTACAAGGGTGGGAACAGCATCTGTGAGGAGGTTCTTCTGGCAGATGGGCACACACACATTCACACACGCACATTGACTATTGTGAATGACGATGGTTGAGCAGGTGGAGTTCTTGAAATGAACCTCTTTCTTGCTCCGAGAGGAGAATACGTGAGCACTGGGAGCCTGGTTTCAGCCCCACAGGGATTGTGATGTGTCAGGGCAACAGGGCCTGGTGAAGGCAGGAAAAGGGGGAGACGATCCACTAGCAGCTCTGAGACACAAGGGGGGTTATTAAGAAACTAAATACACTGGGTAAAACTACAAACAAAAGGACCATGAGGAGTCAAAAAAGCAAAATGGGGAAAACAACAAAGTACAAGAAATAACAAGGAAACAAGGTCTGGAAACAAGGCAACAGAGAGCAGGAACAGGCAAGGGAACAGAGCACAAACTCATAATACAGCACAGTATACCATCAGACACAACAAATCACGATTACCAACTAGGGAAATTAACAAAGGCAGGCGCTTAAATACAATGATAACAAGGACTAACAAAAGGCAGGTGTACATCATCAGAAACAACCAATCAACGAAGGCACAGAGCAACAAGATACAGATGAAGAAAATAACACTAAAGAACACAGAACTAAGGAACCTGAAACTAAGGAAACACAGGGAAATTGAAGAAGAAGAAGAAGCTTTATTTGTCATTGCATAAAATACATGGTATCAAACACGAAATTTAGAGTTGCCACTCTTGGTCAGTGCTTCAAAACTAATATAGTTGAAAAATAACAAATTTGTATAAAAAAAATAATAAATAAGTAACAGACAGGTAAAAACCCTTCCATTTCACTCTCTCACACACCCACCCTCTCTTCAGCCCCAAGGCAGCCCACACTCACTCACTCATACACTCCCCCCAAACCTATTCACCACTCCTCTCACCCAAAACATTAGTCCCTACCTTCCAGCCAAAACAAGACACTCCCCTGCACAAAGGTATAACATCATAGCAAACATAGCAGCATCAGACTATAATGTTTAGACTATAAATACTAGACTAGGAGACAAATCAAGAAACAAGTAAAACAGAACATAAGCAAGGCAGGGGCAGTGAACCATAAACAAGACAAATTAAACACAGGGATAAACAATATCAAACTAAGGATAAACTAGAACAGGGAAGCAAAGGACTATTAAAGGACTGTGGCGGTCCAGGGAGCAGGGGAAACACGCAGGGGTCTAGTACAAGGACAGGAGGGAACAGGATGGCGAGCAATGGCTGCCGGCCACATGGGGAAGAGACACAAGGACAGGGTCAGACGGGCGCTGACCATGACAGTGATCAGGACAAAGAACCATGAAAGACATGAAATACAGTTACCGACTTTGGGGGAATCAGTCAGTTGGTTTGCACTAATTTCCTGAATTTCTCCAGATGTTTTTCTTTTATCTGTTTACCCCACAATACTGCCCCAGATAAGCTGTTAGATGATAGATGGATGTAAGTTGTTTTTGGTTAGTTGTACCTGGTCGGTTTTCCCCAAATGAACAATACAACAAATACACGTGCATGGCAGTTATTTTTTTCTCAGGTATGTCTGGAGAGAGGAAGATAATGACTGTGGTGTAGAACGGTGTTTCCCAACCCAGTCCTCGGAACCCCAGACAGTCCATGTTTTTGCTCCCTCCCAGCTCCCAGCCAATCAGGAACACTGAATGGTACAGGTGTGCTGGGAGCTGAGAAGAAGCAAAAACGTGGACTGTCTGGGGTTCCCCGAAGACTGGGTTGGGAAACACTGCTGTAGAAATCTACTTAGTAAAACCTACATAAACTGAAATGAACTGAAGTAAGTGTTTCAAACTGAATCAGGTGCTGCTACACCTGATTCAGGGTGTCATGGAAATTGTAAAAGCCAGTTTGGCACCAGCTTTGGTGTTTTTTTATTTCCTAGAGTGCAGTTATTTACATCAGGAGACGTGTCAGTATAAATAAGTTCAATAGATAAATGTTAGATGAGCTTTGTGAGGGTGGTGTGTTCTGTATGATGACATCAGCACACAGCAGGGGAGAGAAAATGAGAGACAGGGAAATGGATAGATGTCAGCCTGTTTCAGTCTCCTGATCCATCTGTAGCCCATCTGTGTCTCTTTGGCACATGATGAGCCTCCTGGGCCACGGTGGAGCTGTCAAGGGGTGGGGGGATGGGGGGGCTTGGTGAGCATGCGCCTGACAGACCAAGGGGTGGAGAGGGAAGAGGCAGAAAAACGGAGGAAGAGTGGAAGAGGAGGGCAGGAATGGCCGGAGAGCAACAGCTTTCTCTCCACCTCTTTCTGCTGGAGCCTGTTTCTATACCGTGTGACTTTTCATGTGGATTATCTCCATTCTCCATGTTCTCATCTTATTCTCACGCTTAAATGCTGAAGGTAAGGAGAGGTGCTTGATAGGGCAGTAACTCAGAATATGTGGCTTTAGGGCACTTTTCTGTTTGTTTCCTACATTTCAGATATGGTTGTTTATTACAGCTGTCTAAAGATTACTGGTATTTCAAGAGATCCTGGTATTTATGGATAAAAAAAAATGAGCTTGTTGTCTTTCTCTTCCAGTGGAAGAACTTCTCTTATTTTGTACAATAAAATGTGACAGATAGTGCAAGTTTATTTTCCATCTAAATGGGAGCAAGCATGTCTTTTACTGGTTGGATTTTGTAGGTGTCACACCATGGAGGCATGGACTGGGGTGCAGAAGGTTTGCTTCCGGCAGCAATCTGGGCTGTACCATAGAGCCTGTGTAAGGGGGTGTTGACAGGTAGCTCATTGTACAATCTGGGCTGTACCATAGAGCCTGTCTAAGGGGGTGTTGACAGGTAGCTCATTGTACAATCTGGGCTGTACCATAGAGCCTGTGTAGGGGGGTGTTGACAGGTAGCTCATTGTACAATCTGGGCTGTACCATAGAGCCTGTGTAAGGGGGTGTTGACAGGTAGCTCATTGTACAATCTGGGCTGTACCATAGAGCCTGTGTAGGGGGGTGTTGACAGGTAGCTCATTGTATTCCCCAGACTTCGGGGGATACATTTGTCTTAGCAACAGTCCACCGGCACCACTGCCACCAAAGATGATTTGTTATGTAAAGTGATAACTCAAAAACTGTATGACAGAACTTTTTCAAATTTTACACCAGCATTATACTGGGGAGGACCTAAAAGTGATTACATTTTTAGACAGATTGCTGAAAAATTGAAGTGCCACTGCATAGTGATAGCAAAAAAAATGGCAGTTTTGACACTTGATACTGTAAAGACTACGGCGCAGAAATCATTTGATGGGTCTTTTGCAAACTTCACGGAGACATTGTATGGGTGCCACACTGGATATTATTAAATTCGGGGACAGATGGCCCCCAAATTGAAATGAGTAGTTTTGACACAAACGTTTCTTGACAAATCATTTTCAAACTTTGAGCACCAGAAGTGAGATGTGGCATTATTTTGGTTTAAAGTGAATTAATTGAATTTGAAGATAAATTGTCATTGCTGACACACCACAACAAAATGTGTTCTCTGCATTTAACCCATATGTGACTTTTGTGACATAGCAGGGGGCAGCTAATTCAGCACCCGGGGAGCAGCGCTTGGGGGCGGTACCTTGCTCAGGGTACCTCAATGGTGCCTTGCTGGTCAGGGATTAACACTGTACTCAGAGCTGTCAACCATGAACAACATGAAATGCAGTTACCTTCTTCGGCTGAATCAGTCAGTTGGTTTGCACTAACTTCTTTCATCTGTCTATCCCATAATGCTGCCCGGGATAAGCTGTTAGAAGATGGATGGTAGGTTGTCTCTGGTTAGCCGTACCTGGTAGCTTTTCCCCAAATGAATTTTTCCACTAAGTACATGCGCATGACAGTTATTTTTTTCCCAGGTATGTCTGGAGGGAGGAAGATAATTACTGTGGTGAAGAAATCTAGTAGTAAAACCTACATAAGCTGAAATGAACTGAAGTGTTTCAAACTTTGCTGCTACACCTGACTCAGGGTGTCCCAAGCAGTGATACACTTGTTGTGTGGAGTTCAGTCGAAGACAATATGTATACGAATGTGTATCTCCATGCATAACCAAACATTTCCTTTATACCAGTGGCAGTTTATTAAAGATGACAGGTATCACCAAAAAGACAAAAAGCCTGTGAAGAAAAACTGTGTAAAAAAAACTCTGACTGCTGCGTTTTGTAGGAGCTGAAGTTCATATAAGGATCCATAGAGACAACCATAAGGAAGGGCGGTATAATAGTCCAGCCTAGAAGTTATAAAGGCACGGATTAGTTTTTTTGCGCCGTGGAAGGAGAGCATCTTCCAAAGCTTGGTTATTTTCCGTAGACGGAAGAATGCAGTTCCAGTGATAGTTCTAATGTAAGCATCAAAGCATAGATCTGAGTCATCAAGGACACCAAGATCTCTGGGCACTGTTTGATTGAACAGGAAGACCACCAAGGTCGGGGCTGTCAGACTTACATTGAGCAGCCTCCAGCTATTTGCCCTATTTAGCATAAGGAACTTCTACCCCTAAGAGCTGGGATCACCTGGTTTGACAGATATATGCACATACTTAAAGTGTAAAAAAAATCTTTTCTTTCCTATATTTTCCCCATAATGCAACCATATACTTTTCTTGCATGTCCTAGTTGGTTCTCTTTGATTCACAGAGTGTTACTTTTTTAGTTTTTGTGGTCACTGCTTGTGTCGTTCTCAGTAATGTTTGATTTCTCTGTAATATAATCTCATCGTTATACAGTATGTTTGGTTTTCGTAGCTGATCCTGAAACCTGAATAGTGAATGGTATGTGTTGGAGAGGAGGGTTTCCAGCATCATCTGTGACATAATCTGTGTTTCAAGGAAAGATGACTGAGCTATGATGAAGGTCTGTGGTCGGAGCTGAAGGCAATGCCTCACTGGAGCCCCACATGCCCTGTGACACTCTCTACCCTCCTTCCATTCTTAAGTTAGGTTAACTGACTGATTTTCAACACAGGTCTGTGCCAATGTTTCAGGTGAAGACAAACCTGCTGTTGTACCATTGGGTCTGTTTACCTGTAGCTGGCTCCAATCCATGATATCCTCCTCTTGTTCCCGTCAGACAGCGGAGAGAAGACCCCAGCCATGCCCGGTTCTCCAGTGGAGGTTAAGGTCCTTACCCTATCGGGCCCTTCTGCTATGCCATCTTTGCTGTCGGTCAAACTTTCAGGGCCTCGGTCAGCCTCCTTCTCCTCCACCCCATGTAAGTTCCATCCTCTTAAATTTCACATCAGAATTTCTGCAGACACCTTGAAGTAATTGTGCCCTCAAAGGTACAAATTGGTGCATTTTTTTTATGTCAATGTAACCCTGTCCTCTGCACTCAATATGGTAACTCACAGATAAAAATCTTAAACTCAAACCGGCTCATTCAAAAGTCCAGATTAAATTAAGAACGGTTACTTCCCTGAAGAGAGGCCCTCCCTGCCCCCCCACGGCCAACAGAGAAAGGAGAAGAATTCCTCAGACAACACCACTCAAACCCGGCTAATATTCAGCAGGTCTGGTGCAGCTCAGTGGGCCTCTGGCCGTCCGCTGCCAGCCATGACCAACAGATAAATACCCTATTATTCCTGACACATTTACCCTCACATCTTACCTAACAATCTTTGTCTGTGGCCAGTCTAGCACTGGCAATGGACACAAAACATGTTCCCCCAACACTGGCAGAGGCCAGAGATTTAAAGTTAGTCTCCAGTCCATTCTGCCAGCGCCCCCATTCTTCTGTTTTGGTGTCCATCTGAATTCTACGCTCCGCCCTCGTCACAGGTGACCCTTATTAACATGTTGAGAAGGACTGTAACTAACTCCACTTACAACAGTTGCCTGTCCCTTCATTCTTAAATCAAAAAGTGATTAATGATGATCAGAACTCTAATTGCTGCATTTTTCTTCAACTTCGACCATGGGTTCAGTAATAATGTTTTGGTAATAGGCTTTCACCAGTGTGAGTTCTCATATTCAGATATTATATTAATGAAGTTTATTGTTCTTACAAATGGCTTCATGGTGTTCCTAACTTCTGAATACATTAACTGTAACTCACTTTCCCCTCACTCTGTTTTGTTGTTTAGTGACCAATGGGATGAACCACTCCCCACCCATCTTGACCAGTGCACCCTCCTGGCCCCAGCGTTACAGCAGTGGTCCGCCTTCCTTATCCTCCGCACTGGCTAACCAGCAGCTCCCGCCGACCTGTGGGGCCCGGCAGCTCAGCAAGCTGAAGCGCTTCCTCACCACACTGCAGCAGTTTGCCAATGACATGTCGCCTGAGATCGGGGAGAACGTGCACAATCTGGTCCTGGCACTGGTGGTGAGTTTCAAGTAGCCAATGGCTCAGTGGCTCAATGGCATCTCATTGTGAAATGTCTGCCTACCAGTGCACCAGTTTACTTTTAGTAATTTTTTTAAAGAAGTGGTTATGGTGAGCAGCTATATTAGGACGTGAGGTTGCACCTGCTTATCGAATTCTTCATGCCGTCCAGACAAAACTCTTTTCTGGCATTTTGAAATCTTGGCGATTAAATTCGTCAAGCTAATTTTGTTTCAAATATTTCAAAATACTATGCTATGCCGTATTACCGTAATTCTGTCCAAATCCATAACAATTTTAAAACAGTTCAGATGTTTACCCATTTCACTATACTGCTTGTATTTGTTTGTTGCAATACATCTGCCCTCTCCTGGTTTGTTGGAATATCATTGCTGGCCGCGTGTGTCCATAGACAAATGTAGTATGTGCACAGTCATGCATGGATCATAAAGGCATGGAGAATAGTGAAGTATGAACTCATTTACCAACCGTTCTTAAGAAGAAATTTCTTCTTAAAAACAACTTACGCAGTTTTCACGAGGATTCTGGCATTCATCAGTGTCGTCTTATTTGGGGTTTGTTCTTAGGTAAGAACCGAATATAGGCACATTTGAGTGCTGACAAGTCTGCAAAATTACTGCTTATTGTGTTTTTTTCAATTCTGTAGTTGTATAATACTAATGAAGTTAAATTACAATAATATTTGTATAATTTATAATAATAAATGTATTATTTTTTAAGAATTTAGCTAGTCAATGAGGGTGGTGCTGTGGTCAGTGCTGCTGTCTCCCAGCAAGGAGGTCCTGGGTTTGGTCCCGGGTCCTTTCTGTGTGAAGTTTGCACGCTTCCCCCTGTTTTTGCTTGGGGCTCCAGTTTCCTCCCACCTCCAATCAACCTTCTCTGATTGGTGAGCCTAAATTGGCCCTGTGTGTGCACCCTGTGGTGTGTTGGCAACTGCCCCGGGTCGGTTACTGCCTGTGCCCCTTGTTCCCAAGATAGGCTCTGGTCCCCCCATGATCCCAGTTGGGAATCAGCGGTTTCAGAAAATGGGTGGATGGAAATAGTCAGAGTGTCTTAATTATTTTTATTAAAAGGAGTAATAGCATCCCAGGCACCTTTTTGTGTTATTTTATGTCCACTACTGTCACTACTAAATATGACAGTTTGTTTGCTTCACTTTCTACCAAACTAGTGAAGTTTTTGTTTTGCAGTCTGCAGCTCCTCTGAGATTTTCATTCTTCTCTCTCAACTTTTCTTCTTAATTTCTGTGTGTGGTTTCTGTGTGTGCACATGGCCCTGTGGTCTCATGCCCTTTTATGGGGAGTTATGGGTTTTTTACCTAAGCTAATTAGGAACTTCTGACATGCATTTTCAATTTGCGAGAACAATGGGATTCATGATTATAGGAACACATTGCTGAACAATTCTGTGGTTTAAGGACACATCAGGTATGTGGTGCAGACATTTTTAGAACCTTCTTAGGACCTTTCTCAAGAAGATATTTAAGAAAAAATATTGATATTGATATTGGATGATATTGGGGAATGAGACCCAATGCTATGTAAAAAAATAGCTGCACTTGGAAACAAACCTGGATCTGCAAAATGTTCAAGATTTTTCTAAATTTTCAATCTCTTTCAATTAAACCTCAACCAATGTCCCCATAGAATTCTACAGTCACCATTGAGGAATTTCACTCCAGGCTTCAGGAGGCCACCAACTTCCCCCTGCGACCCTTCGTCATCCCATTCCTGAAGGTACGTCCTCCTTTCATTCTAGGAAGCTGGAGAGGCTCTGAGGCCTGGTCATATCTAGAACTGAGCAGCAAATTATAGAATCCAGGTTTATTGTATCATTTGATATATTTGACAGGCTAAATTAATGTCTAGGACATTTAAACATCCAAGAAATAATATACCAGATATTAAAATGGGTACAGTATTACAATCAACTGTCAACTTGGGAAAAAAAAAATTAAATACATTATCTGGAGGCAGCGAAATAGAACTATGGACCCCTATTAAAAACTACCCAAAATCAACTTTCATAGGTTAGGTATACACTAAGTCTACACATTGTTGTTTGTTTTTCTCTTTGTCTTTGATGCATGGAACCCTGGTGAAAATTACATTTGACACTAATACATTGTCTTCAGGCAGTTTGTTGGCTAACTTGTCCCCCACTTGATCCCTTACGTTGTCAACATCTGTGTCACTGGCTGTCTGTTCATGGGCTACTTCCTTACATCTGGAGTTGATCGCACAGTTTTTTCACTCTCTTGGAGCACCTTAGCTGACCCCCTGTGCCACAGAGGATAGTCAGCCAACACACCACATATGCGTATAGGCATTCACATCACATGCTGGTTCCCATTACACAGAATACTGTCTGGATCCACTCAGCAGGCTGAATGCTGGCAAAAAGGCAGAGTGCATTGCCTTGTATGACCGAGGAAGGGGGTGGAGGAACATATAACATCCACACACTGCATAAACTCAAACTCAGGTCCCGGCAGTGTGAGGCGACAGTGCTAACCACTGCACCACCATGCTGCCCTGCTAATAAACAAAGAAATCTCTCATGTTAATCCTTTTGTCCATAATGTACCTATTCACACAGCTGGATATTTTATGAGCACATCAGTTGAGGTGACAATAGCAAGAGGCCTACTGAGGTTTGGACTGACTAGCAGCTGGGGAGATAAATTGTGTGTCGAATGAGTTACTGGATCCATAAAGTAGATTTGAAATGAAAATATCATTCGTTTGTAAATTGTGTCTGTCTGTCCTGGTTATGAAGATTTAACACCACACCAGGTACACAAAGCAAGTCTGACTTCTGACTTCATCTACTGATATTTCATCACCGCTCTCACAGTGATGTCCTTGTGCCTTCCTTTGGCCTCGTAGGCCAACTTGCCCCTTCTCCAGAGGGAGCTATTGCGCTGTTCCCATGCCACCAAGCAGACTCCTGCCCAGCATCTGTCCCAGCCTGAGCACCTGCACCGCAACACTGGTCTGACAGCCTCTCCAGATTCCTCCGAGCTGCTGAAGGATCCCAATGAAGCTCTTAAGCGGCACAGTCCTGACAGGTGAGGCTCTGACATCAGCCCTTAGGGGGGGGGGGGGGGGCATCTGTGGGACAGTGGCATGATGGTTCCCTGCATCAGGAGGGTTCAACCTTCCTCATACCACTGACCTCAATGAAAATAGACCCTCTATTATTGTAACAATAAGTGCATCACCTTCACACTGCTGCATCAATCAACATCACGAACTATATTAGCACACAGAGATCGCATTAGGTTTTTTTTCTGCATTGGACACTGAAAAACAATGCAGATATCCCCTGACACCCGCGAACGAGCCACAGTGTTCCAGAAATCTGTCATCCTGGCATTTAGTGGTGGCGGAGAAGTCGGCAAGAACTTTAACTGCTGCACCCGGCTGGCACATTATTCCGGCACCCTCTATCCCTGGTCGGCAATGTTTCAGCGCCTGCCAGTCAACAAATCTTGCCACCTGCACGTCAGGATTTTAGAAAGCAACACTGTTACAGTATTCCAGTAAAATTTGGCGTGAACGGAAATACAGCGAGAATGCTACCTAAGGCTAGCCAGCTGCCCCTCCCCCCCCTTCGCAGTTGTCCCTGTCCGTCTTGTTGAAATCAATCTGCATAAGGTGGGTCTGACGATGGTTGAGCATCAGTAGCCCATATAACACTTATTTTATATTGCTTTCTAAATTGCATTTTCAATACACACTTTATTTTTGGTCACAGTGATAGTCAGCATTGATTTGGGAGAAGCCAAGAGCTCATGCTGACTGTGACTCATTAGTTCATTATGGTTTAATAGTGCTGACCTTGTCTGCTTGTCTTTGTGACCAGGACCAAGGAGAATGGCTTTCATGAGTGTCCCTCAGGGCTTTTGGAGCCCCCAGCCAAGCGTGTGTGCACCATCAGCCCTGCCCCCAGACACAGCCCCATCCTGCCCCTTGGTGGGCAGCTGCACCCCATCCCACCACCCTTACAGCACCATGCTCTGGAGGACATTTCTGCCTCTCGCCTATGCCAGGAACCACAGCGCCCCCTGGGGCTCAGTGAGTTGAAAGACAGGCCACGTCATCAAGGTAATTGCTCAGTTTTTTCAGTATTCATAATTCATTGCAGCTGTACAAGACTAAAAGCTGTGTGTGGGTATTAAAAAGCCATAGTATTCCATTTTGTTGTTAAAGTTTCAGTTAAGACTATTAATATCTTTAAATGCTGCTTAGTGGCCAGGCATGTGATTATTGCACTGGGATGAGGAGCAGGACTGATGCTGATGACTGCTCTAGAAGCAGGCCATCTTCTGAGAGTGGTGGTGCAGCTGGGGGTGTATTGGTTGTTGGTGGAGGTGGGACATCTATATTTTGTGCATGTGGGTGGTGTTGGTTGTTTTTTCCTAGTAAGTAGGTGTGTGTGTGTGTTGGGGGGGAGGGGCATGTATATATTACATTGTGGGTACCAAATGTCCCCACAATGTGCTAAACACCTTTTATTTAGACCTTGTGGGAACATTCTTTTGGTCCCCACAAGGGGAAACTTGTTTTTATTTAAAATAAAACACTGTGAATACAATCAAAATAACTAAAATAGCCAAAAGCATTATATTTTGTTTGGTTGCTTATAGTTAAGGTTAGGGCTGGGTAGAGCTTAAGGGTGTCATATTTAGGATTAGGGTTATGCCCATAGAAATGAGTGGATGGTCCCCACAAAGAAATAGATACCTAATCTGTGCGTGTGTGTGTGTATACGTATGTATGTATTAATTTGTATATATATATTATCCTTTGTTATATTGGGAGATCAGTAAGTCTTGCCCCATCTGTTAACCATAAGCATATTGATATTATTGATATATAACAAGCGTATTGATATTGTAGTAGGTGTTTAAAAGGGAGGGAATGCATCTAAGTAAGGTGAGTAATTAGTTGTTGGTTGATCTGGTCTAAATCTTCTACGAGAAGTTTCATCATTTTATTACTTTGAATTTAACCAGGCATTGATGGGGGCTATTGTGAAGAACCAGTTGACCACAGATTGACAGACACAGAATGGGCTGATGAATGGAGGCATCTCGATCACGTAAGAGCCTTTCTGTTGGTGTTGGGGCTAAGAACCTTCTCCCTACTGTCCAGCATTTATCTGTTTTACCAGCATGTTCCGTCTTGTGTGTTTTTTGAATAACATTCTCTTGTTCAGTTAAGGCTTTTGAATTTTATTCAATAAACGTTTTTATAATGTAATGAAACTTATTGTATTACTGTTACAAACTATTTAAAAGGGGACCATTTTCAAGTTCCGTGGTTCTGGGGGGGACAGGGGGGATTTGTGCCTCCTTGATAACAAACATCCCCCACTATGTTCCCTCTAAATGTGTAGGCTACTTGGGTCTCAAATAAATGCATTTGCGATGAACTTTGTGTGCACTGGGAATGGGTGGTACACGAAACTAAGCATTTTTACATAAGTCAGTCATTTATGGGTCATTTTAGTTGGTGAAATGCAACACAGTTTAAATAAAGATGGCTAAAAAAAACAAATAAGGCTAATATTACAGTTTTTATTATTATACTAGGGGACACGCTTATACAGTGCAACATTTCTGACGCATATGCAACTACAAATCATTGTGTGCAAATTACAAACAATACTGCCTAGCACATGTGCGAATTGGACTGAGATTCACATTACACCACTACCTGTAGTTCAAGCTACATTGAATTCAATAGTAATTGTTGCGTAGGCTAAAAATAATATTCCCAGCATATGTCACAACGCTAAATGACCCAGTACTATGGATTCGAAACAAAGTAACTGGCACTTATGCTCAACAAATAACTACCGCAGTGATAGACACTCCACTTTTCCCTGAACACTTAAAAGGTTGAAGTCTATCAGTAATGACATAATGTTAGTTAACAATGAAAAATTAAATCAATTACTTCCTTCAAGAGGGATGTTGATGTTATTATGGAGAAACTGGGAGATAACATCGTTTCAGAAGGAGGCATTGATTATCATCACTGGACAATGAAAAACATATTTCAAAGAATCCAATATTTCAGAAGTGTGAAAAAACACATTTTCTCCAAAACTACTTTATAAAATAAACCTTAAACAAGATAATGAGACTCCCTTAGTCCCACAAATAGAAACCTATATAAATAGAATCTTTACACAGTCATCAGTGAACAGTTTAATGTTTTAAATGGAAATTGATTGTTGTCAGCGAACACAGAATTGTGTTTCTTATCACGCGTTCCAGTGTTGCATAGTTAGTTTGAACCTTGTTGAACTGTTCTCTATATTCCAGAAACTCAGTAGGTTATCGACTGCTAGGCTAAATGTTTGGACATAGGACTGGGTGATATGGAAAAATATTTTAATATTTTATTTTGAATAAATTTATAAAACCGAATTATTAACTGCCTTATGAATTCAATAAAACTTTATTAATGGAGCATGTGTCAGCGCCTTCCTTGGGTTTCATGGAATAGTGTTTTAGTGAAGTTTGTTGAGTGAGTTCAACATTTTTAAACTTATTAATAGCATATGTGCTAATTGTACAAATGACTAGCATAGAACCCTGATAGAGGAGCCAATTTAAAGGGTTATTCACTTCAGTTGCAGGAAATTTGTGATGCAAAAGTTAGATGGATTGTGGAAACAACGGATTATAACAAATATATATTATAATGGAAAAAGACCAAATACATCTTAAATGGTCTCCGAACATTGGATGTAAATAATATTTGCTAGAATAAAAATGAAGAGTCCCAAACAATACTAAAATAACTGAAATAAACATTGCAAAATACTCACTGGTTGTCTTTTTGCCTGACACTGGAATTCAGTGATGGTGAATGCACTGGAGAACACCTTGCCGGGTGCTGCTAGCCTGCCTTAATAACTAATACCCCCTCTTCCTATAGGGGCTGAACGGCATTGTGGACATGGTGGAGAAGACCCGGCGCTCCATAAACGTGCTGCAGCGCTGTCAGAAATCTGACTGCGATGAGCTCCATTACTGGAGGAGGCACTCCAGTGAGCAAGAAGAGGCAAGGAAGAGTGGGCCGGCCCTTGGCAAGTCCCACAGCTCCCATGGTGGGGAAGGCATCACTGTCAGTGAGTCAGAATTTTGCCTCACACAGTGCCATCTAGTGGTCCCTCTGGGTTTCGATGTTCATGGGCACAAAGCGGAAGGATTGCAGTAGCACGCCTGCCACTATGTGGCCCACAACAGGTGTCGCTCCGACTTGTCTGGATGGAGACAGATGGCCTCGCTGTTGTACTGGGAGTTGGTTTTGGCTCCCCGGCCTGTGGCCATCTGTGAGCTGCACCCGGCCGTTATGTCCTCCTGCCAGATCTGGCTCAGTAACAGGGGTCTCTGTGAACTGGCCCACTGTGCTGCACTCTCTATGTCGCAGAGCTGAAAACTCAAGCCTTCCTGTCTTTTCCACCCTTTGCAGTGGCCCAGAGAGACTTTTCATCCCAGCCAAGTTCTGGTTGTGTGCCTGATGAGGTCTGGAGGAAAACTGGTAAGAACTAAAAGCTCTGCAATTCCTGGGCAAAGGCCTTAATTCCCTTGGCTGCCACTGGGCAGCTGAATATCGTTTCTCTGTCACATTCCACCCCTTGTCCACCTAGGCCGCCATATGTCACATGTATCACAAAATTAGTGTAGCGTAAACACATGATAAGCATTAAAATGGAAACCTAGTGCTTTAACGAGTGTGCCGAGCTCTACACATGAACACTACTTTGACACCTGTCAACAGAAGAAGCTGTGAATGGGGTGAAGCGGCATGCTTTGGATGAAGTTCAGAAGGCTGTGGCAGTGGCTGAACAGAGAGCCTTTGAGATGATTGCTGTAGAGAGGGCCAAGATGGAGAAGACTCTGGCTGAAGCCAAGCAACAGGCCACCAAAGATGCCATCCAGGTCATCAATGAGCAGGAGGACTCCAGTGAGGTGGGGGCCTTTGCTGAAGAGTACCCATGGTATCTGTCTGCTTTGCCAAGACGTTCTTCATTTGGTTCAGTTCTAGTGCAGACCTTATGGGCGTGAAGCAAGCACTGGTGAACTTGGGGGGGGGACTGCCCCCTAGTAGTTGAGAAAATGTTGCGAGAACTGGTGAAAACGCTGCTATTGGCTGCCCTTCACATGGAAAAAAAAAAAAGATTGCATGTCATCTTGGGCGCCCCCTTCATGTGAGATTGGTATGATGATGTACCTTGCAGAGCAAGAAAATGTGATAAAGTGCCTTATAAGGTACCCTTACAGTGGTCTAAATGGTCGCTATGGAAACCCATCCAGTTGAAAAGGATGTAGTTATGAAGTGCTCTCTAAGCCATCTCTGCGAGATTAAGTGGTTCAAAGGGTGTCCTTTCCAGTGCCCTCTGTGGTACCCTTTCAAGTGAGCAAGCATGATTTAGTGCCCTCTGGGGTACCCTTCCAAGTGAGCAAACATGATGAAGTGCACTTGTAATGGGGAGAAAGTAACTCTAATGGGTGCTCTTCTAGTGGACAAAATGAGATACTGTATTCCACTATGAGATGCAGGTTCCAAGTGATAATAAACTTAAGTAGTCCCTTTAATAGGCTATGGTGAAGAACCAAGATATACAAGCATTGGGTTCATGATGGGATCATATTTTAGCAACCCATCCATTTTAGTATAACGGTATTGTGGTTAAGTTGTTTGCCCAAATCCTGTTGACAGTAAAGTTGTTTGGTTATTTGTCCATACAGCTTACTGGGAAAGGAATTGTGTTCACAACCAATCCATTTTCCCTCCCTCAGAATTGCTGGAATTGTGGCCGCAAAGCCAGTGAGACATGCAGTGGCTGCAGTGCTGCCCGCTACTGTGGTTCCTTCTGCCAGCACAAAGACTGGGAAAGACACCACCTCATCTGCAGCCCTGGCCTCCAGGCTCAGCCAAAGGCCCTCTCAACTGATACTGTTAGTGTGGTTCCTGATGCCGTTTCCAGCCCTGACACAGAGAATGGAGGCTCCCGGACCTCCACACCAACCTTTGTCCCTGCAGCAGAGTCCAATGGACACTGAGGTGACTGTGCCACGTCATAAATCAGCACAAATAGGGAGTGACTTGCAAATCTGGCCATGTCTTCCACCTGAGATGGCTTAGATACAGGGATGACCAGCTCCTCTCTTATAGGGCTGTTAGGTTCAGTACAGCCTCTTCCATAAAGTGAATGGAACAACTAGAAAACCAAATGGCACATGGAAAATTGCTGTTGATTATTTTGAGTTTCCCAAAAAACATTCCCCTCTAATATCTGTAGTAATCTTAGAAGTATTTGGGTCAAAATCTAGGCCACAGTGTTCAGTGCTTACTTTGGGTTTATTATTAGCTTATGTATATAATCCTGTGCGGGAGTGTCCTATTAATTTAAAATGTTAAACTGTTGTTGGCTATGTGCCATGTAATTGGAAAACGTTGTCTAAGAGCAGACATTAGTATGGGGGAAAATGTTTGGCCATGTGGGGGCAGCAAACACCAGTGGAAGGTTCCAATGAGAAGAATAGATTGCAACCTGTCCTTTGCAAGTACTTAGCACTTGTTTGATTTTGTTTTATCTTTGTATGTTTCAGAGCTTATTGTATATTGATTAATATGTCTATGTCGCTAGTCAATAAATAATAAATGTCACTCTTCCTTGATTTGACTAAATTGGTTTATTTACAGCATCTGACTCAAAAAAAGTCAGAGTGTCATACCAACAGTTCAACCTGAGCTTCTAGATTGCATGGAGATTTCAAATTCCATCCATCCATTCATCCATTATCTCCTTATCATTATCGCTTATCCGAGGTCGGGTCGCGGGGCAGCAGTCTCAGCAGGGAACCCCAGACTTCCCTCTCCCCAGCCACTTCTTCCAGCTCCTCTGGGGGAATCCCAAGGCGTTCCCAGGCCAGTCGAGAGACATAGTCCCTCCAGCGTGTCCTGGGTCTTCCCTGGGGCCTCCTCCCAGTGGGACATGCCCGGAACACCTCACCAGGGAGGCGTCCAGGAGGCATCCTAATCAGATGCCCGAGCCACCTCATCTGGCTCCTCTCGATGCAGAAGAGCAGCGACTCTACTCTGAGTCCCTCCCGAATGACCAAGCTCCTTACCCTATCTCTAAGGGAGAGCCCAGCCACCCTGCGGAGGAAACTCATTTCAGCCGCTTGCACTCGTGATCTCGTTCTTTCGGTCACTACCCACAGCTCTCGACCATAGGTGAGGGTAGGAACGTAGATTGACTGGTAAATCGAGAGCTTTGCCTTTTGGCTCAGCTCCTTCTTTACCATGACAGACCGATGCAGCGCCCGCATCACTGCGGACACCGCACCGATCCGCCTGTCAATCTCCCGTTCCATCGTCCCCCCACTCGTGAACAAGACCCCGAGATACTTAAACTTAAACACTTGGGGGAGGACCCCATCCCCGACCCGGAGAAAAAATTCTACCCTTTTCCGGCTGAGGACCATGGTCTCGGATATGGAGGTGCTGATTCTCATCCCATCCGCTTCACACTCGGCTGCGAACTGTCCCAGCGAGAGCCGAAGGTCACGGTCCGATGAGGCCAACAGAATCACATCATCTGCAAAAAGCAGAGACTAAATCCTGAGGTCACCAAACCGGACACCCTCAACGCCCTGGCTGCGCCTAGAAATTCTGTCCATAAAAACTATGAAAAGAATCAGTGACAAAGAGCAGCCCTGACGGAGTCCAACCCTCACTGGAAACAAGTTCCGACTTATTGCCGCCTATGCGGACCAGGCTCTGGCACCGGACATACAGGGACCGAACAGCCCTTAAAAGGAAGCCCGGCACCCCATACTACCGGAGCACCCCCCACAGGACTCCCCGAGGGACACGGTCGAATGCCTTCTCCAAGTCCACAAAACACATGTAGACTGGTTGGGCAAACTTCCATGAACCCTCCAGAACCCTGCGGAGAGTATAGAGCTGGTCCACTGTTCCACGGCTGGGGCGAAAACCACACTGCTCCTCCTGAATCCGAGGTTCGACAATCCGGCGGACCCTCCTCTCCAAAACCTCTGAATATACCTTACCAGGGAGGCTGAGGAATGTGATCCCCCTATAATTGGAGCACACCCTCTGGTCCCCCTTCTTAAAGAGGGGGACCACCACCCTGGTCTGCTAGTCCAGAGGCACTGCCCCCGATGTCCACGTGATGCTGCAAATGCCTGTCAACCAGGACAGCCCCACAGCATCCAGAGCCTTAAGGTACTCCGGGCGGATCTCATCTACCCCCGGGGCCCGGCCAATGAGGAGCTTTTTAACCACCTCAGCGACCTCCGCCCCAGAGATAGGGGAGTCCACACCCTAGTCCCCATACTCTGCTTCCACATTGGAAGGCGTGTCGGTGGGATTGAGGAGGTCTTCGAAGTACTCCTTCCACCGACCCAAAACGTTCCAAGTTGAGGTCATCCCCACCATAAACAGTGTTGATGTTGCACCGCTTTCCCGCCCGGAGCCGCTGGATGGTGGACCAGAATCGCCTCGAAGCCGTCCGGAAGTCGTTTTCCATGGTCTCACCAAACTCGTCCCATATCCGAGTTTTTGCCTCAGCGACCACCAAAGCCGCACCCCGCTTGGCCTGCCGGTACCCGTCAGCTGCCTCTGGAGTCCCACAGGCTAAAAAAGCCTGATAGGACTCCTTCTTCAGCTTGACGGCATCCCTCACCACTGGTGTCCACCAGCGGGTTTGGGGATTGCCGCACCGACCACCTTACGGCCACAGCTCCGGTCAGCCGCCTCCACAATGGAGGCGCGGAACATGGCCCATTCGGACTCAATGTCCCCCGCCTCCCCCGGGACATGGGAGAAGGAGGTAGGAGTTGAAACTATACGCTTGGGCCTGCCAGGCCTGGCCAGCTTCCTCCCCCACCAGCGGAGCCAACCCACCACCAGGTAGTGATCAGTTGACAGCTCCACCCCTCTCTTCACCCGAGTGTCCAAGACATGCGGCCGCAAGTCCGAAGACACGACTACAAAGTCGATCATCGAACTGCGGCCTAGGGTGTCCTGGTGCCAAGTGCACATATGAACACCCTTATGCCTGAACATGGTGTTCATTATGGACAATCCGTGACGAGCACAGAAGTCCAACAACAAAACACCACTCGGGTTCAGATTGGGGGGGGGCGTTCTTCCCATTCACGCCACTCCAGGTCTCACTGTCATTGCCCACGTGAGCATTGAAGTCCCCCAGTAGAACAAGAGAGTCCCCAGGAGGAGTGCTCTCCAACACCCCTTCCAGGGACTCTAAAAAGGGTGGGTATTCTGAACTGCCGCTTGGCGCATAAGGGCAAACAACAGTCAGGACCCGTCCCCCCACCCGAAGGTGAAGGGAGGCTACCCTCTCGTCCACTGCGGTAAACCCCAATGTACAGGCACCCAGCCAGGGGGCAATAAGTATGCCCACCCCTGCTTGGCGCCTCTCCAGCGTGAGCAACTCCAGAGTGGAAGAGGGTCCAACCCCCTTCGAGGTTCCAGAGCCCAGGCCATGCGTCGAGATGAGCCCGACTATGTCTAGCCGGAACTTCATAACCTCGCACACCAGCTCAGGCTCTTTCCCCATCAGAGAGGTGACATTCCATGTCCCAAGAGCTAGCTTCTGCAAGGTCCCCGCCTTCGACCACTGCCCAGCTCACTTCGCACCCGACCCCTATGGCCCCTCCTATAGGTGGCGAGCCCATTGGAGGGGGGACCCACGTGCCTTGTTTGGGCTGTGCCCGACCAGGCCCCATGAGTATAGGCCTGGCCACCAGGCGCTCGCCATTGAGCCCCACCCCCAGGCCTGGCTCCAGGGGGGGGCCCCGGTGACCCGCGTCCGGGCAAGGGAAACCGTGGTTCCATTATTTTGTGCATCATTAGGGGTCTTGTGAGCCGCACTTCGTCTGGTTCCTCACCCAGGACCTGTTTGCCTTGGGTGACCCTACCAGGGGCATAAAGCCCCGGGCAACTTAGCTCCTGGGATCATTGGAACACGCAAACCCCTCCACCACGATAAGGTGTGGGCTCCAGGAGAGGAGAGGAGATTTAGAGATTTCAAATTGATTGTGGTTATTTGAACTGCTCTACTGATGGAACCATAAAGACAGGATAGTACTTTTCATACTTTGAATGCTAATGTTTATTTTCAATCATGTCAATAACTTTCAGTGGACATCTATCAAATATTATGACCATAATATGGAATTTTGCAATGTTTTTTAAACTTCTGAAATTGTCCTACATAACTGTAACATGTCAGTGGTGTTCAAAACAGCTAGAGTTCCTTTTTGTGGATTGCAATGATTTGCCATAAGATGTGAAAACTGCATTTGGGCAAAATGGCTCTGAATAAATGACTTAAATATTCACTTAATAAAGTGATTTTCTTTTTTAGACTTTTTAAAAAGAATATACTATACTTATAATATTAAATATTTCATTTTCTGGATGTGCAATTTCAGAATTATTCTTTGTCAGGGTTTATAACTTTTATTTTGTTGCCATTTACTGAATATATTTTGAAAGGGTCTAGGCTTTCTTTGGATAATTTTGGCACCTAAGCTGGCCACGTATACCGTATAACATTTTTTAGAACATTAATGCAATATTGTCAGTGAAATTAATAAAAAGGTATGGTTTTGAAGTTGTTTTTAAGAGGTGCTGTTCAAGTCATATGTCAGTTAATCACACACATCTAAATATCAAAAAAAACATTCTGTTCATAGTGCTGTGTTTAATCAGGGGTTCAACATGTAATGCTGGAACCCTAATTAATTTACTAGTCTTATTTTTCTTCTTCTGCACTCAAACAATATGGGGAGCAGAGACCGTAAGGTGTAGAAACTCCAAATTTGATGGAATGATGCAAAATTCCCCCCGCTACTCAGATAAGCAAAATCATACCCATTGACCTGATGGTGGCGCTATAGTGCAGCGTTTTATGTTTTGGCCTATATCTCCAGAACCGTGCGTCATAGAAATAAAACTCTTTTTTTTCCAAGACATTCCGTGGCTCATGCCAAAAAATATTGTAATTGGGACAATGAAGCTCCGCTTATTTTTGCTAATTTGCACAATGTGAAAAATCTACTTTTTTAAACTTGCCCTAGAATGTGAATCCTGTAGAATCTGCAACATCAGGAGACCATGTAGACAAAAAGGTGTAGGACTTTGATTGGGCAGATTGCTCCGGTGCTACAGACCAGTCAATTTCTTGGGCCTGGCTTTTTTTAAACTTAATGACTGATTTTTCATCAATAGAACATCCAATTCTCACCAAACTTGTTATGCGTAGTTGGTACGATACTTTGCAAATTTAGTAAAAATCACCCAATAGACAGCACTATAACCTAAAATTAGATTATAACTAAGAAACCATTGGACAAAGAAAGATAAAATTTTGTATATTTGTTCATGGACAGTTGTCCCAACTAATAATTTAATAAAAGTTCTCTCATCAAACATGGCTTACAACAGCCAATCAAAATTCAGCCAGCTCTAATTTCTGGTGTATACTGTATGACTGAGAATTATGAAATTTCATGCAATGGTGCAATATTCATTCCCCTGCTCGGGCCAGAAAACAGACACAGGTTGGCTTATGGTAGTACTATAGTGCCTGTAGTCCACACACCCTTAAACAGTAATTTAGATA